AAAGCTCCCCATTCCCACCCCCGCCCCCCCCCCCTTCATATCAGGAACTGTCTTCACATCAGGAGCTCCCTTCACGTCAGATCCCTCCCCCTTCACACCAGTAGTTCCCCATTCACATCAGAGCCCCCATCACATAAGGAATCTTTATATCAGGAGCACCCTTCACATAAGCGACTCATCTCACATCAGAGCCCCCCTTTCACATCAAGATCCCCCTTCACCTGAGGACCCTCCCTTCACATCAAAGTCCCTACTTGACATCACTAGACCCCTTTCACACCAGGAGCCCTCCTTTCACATCAGAGTCTTTGTTTGCTGGCCACTAATTGCGCTTTTGTAATATCAAACATACTTGCACTGATCCCATATGCACATGTGATATTGTATCCTTCCCAGCCTCATAAATAGCACATCTCTGAGGGTCTCTCCATAGTGTTGTAGAAGGGCAAAGTTTTGTATGAATATAAAAGCCTATTTTTTTCTATATTTCTTTTCACAGAAATGGTTTGATGGTGGATTTTCAAACAGTCTTCCTATTCTGCCAGCTGGGCGAACTGTAACTGTGTCACCATTTTCTGGTCTCCATGATATATGTCCTAACGATAAGAAATATGTGGATATGTATTTTAAAATTGCAAACCAGGACATACTGGTAAGATATTTTATTTGTAAATGTGCATTGTTATCAAGGGATGTGTATAGTATTGTTGGCTATATTTTGCAAATAATTTCAAAGGCATTCTTAAAAGTGGGACATACATTTTTAATTGTTTACTTTACTACAGTAGCAGTGTGGTAGAATATAGTTTACAGCTAATCCCTCTGCGGACATGCTTAGGGGGTCAACAATTGTATTTAAAATCTTATTGAGAAATAGCTCTGTTAAAGTTTGATGCAATTATGGGACTGCGGGTATTTAAAGTGCTATAAAACTCTACATTTTTTAAGTACTTCAGAAGCTGATTCCAATACTTAGTGTACAGCTTTTCCATCTTTTAATCCTTGCCTTTGTTCCAATATAACTACTTTGCTACCAGAGCAATTTTATTTACATGTTTCACACATATTAAAATTGGGATTTATGGCATGAAAACTGCTTAAATCCTGAGACAACTAAAATTTTCTGAAAGCAGATGTCCTGTAGAAAAATTCTAGTTGCAGTCTTTTTATGTTGTACCGTATTTGTGTAAATGTTTATCAAATACATATTTGTAGGAAAAAAATACACTAAAATAAATTTTAGCGCACACAAACACAATGTAATCCCCATTTTTTTGTAAAATATAAAAGATGGGGTTGCATCATGTAGATACCAAAAATGTCAAACCCTAAAATTGTGTGTGTCCGTGAATTCAAGCAAGCAAACAATAGTTTTGAAGTTCCAGCGATGAGGTAGGTGAGAATGACAAGGTGGCAGTTTGTATGTGCATTCTAGAGATTGGAAAGGCGAAAGTGAGGGAGAGGCAGAGGTTCTGCTTGTGGAGGTAAAAAAGAACAAGTAGGTCCTGCAGGACACTGTTAAGAGGCAGCTCACGCCTGACTTGTCTTTGAGAGGGCCAGTGCACATGGAGGAGCAAGTTGAGTAGCTTACAGAGCTTTCCTGTTCTACCTCTTCCCAGGTGTAGAGCAGGCAGTTTTCTACAAATGTGCCCTGCTAATCCCACTATAGCCCCTAAAACTGGCATACAAAAGATGGCAAAATTATTTCAGCACACAATCAGTTACATGCTGCAGAAGGAATTACAAGAATTCCTGTTATCAGGTGTTGAAGAAGAGAGCACCAGGAATACAATGGGAGGGGAGATCAGGAAGGGAGCAGAAATTCCCTGTGATTTTCCTGAAGCAAACCACCAAGTGGGCTCCAGTGATGAGTTAGGTGTGGATGGTAAAGTGGCAGACTGTATGTTGGTGTGAGAGATTGGAGAAGGGAAAGTGATGGAGAGGAAGAGCAACATCAACTTGCACAGAGCTTGAGGGAATAGGTCATACTACTCCAGTAGATGGCACTGCACCTTGGGTGCAGGCCACTGATATTCTTAGCACCACTCAGTGCTCTGCAGTCTGGGCTTTTTTTTCCACACATCTTCTGCCAACACCACAGTTGTCTGCAGTCTCTGCCTGCAGCTTATCAGCCAAACCACCAGTCATTTGGGTACCATATATAATATGAATCTGCACCACAGAGCTTAGTGGATGACACACCTCAATGATACCGGTCAGCATGAAATGGCAAACATTCTTCCATCTCATTCTTCGCTTACCACCCCCCCTCCAGATTCTCCATCTGCATCCACTGCAGCATGTGCAGCCTCAAGGGATAGGGAGTCTCACAAGGGGTTTCAAAGGCTTACCTTACAACACACCAATCATGCCAATCAGGGTAGATAATCAGTATGGGGCCACACAGAGTAGGGCCAAGAGAAGATTTTGTAAAGATTAAGTAAAGTAAGATTTGGCAAAAGTGCTGGCTTTACATCTGCTCCTTTTCCAACTGGTGGAGTCAGCTCCCTTCTTTGAATTTATGGCCTGTGCTACACCATAGTGGCAGGTACCAAGCTGCCATTTTCTTTTGCTCACAAGGCCATCTCTGCCCACCATCAGCAGTGAATATTAATGTTGCCAGGTCACGGGACCGTGTAGTCAGTGACAGGGTCTAAAAGACCACAGATATGTTTAGTGGCTGCTGGGGCTCATCGCTGCAGCTGGTGGTGCCTCATTTTGTCTTTCATGTTGCTGTAGGTGACAGTGCAGTCACCTCTACTTCCTTAGGAGTAGGGGGAAATAGGGCAAACTTCTAGGGGGACATTTTACTTTAAGAGTTGTACCTGGGTTGGTTGAGATTGTTGAGGACACTGTTGTGTGACACAGTGGACTCGGGGTCATCTGTTGCAGGTAATTTAAGGCGAATAACCTCTTTTATGCAGAAATGTCTGTGCAAGTTAACTCTGAAAAATGTTTAGAGACTGCAGATGAGGGCGATGTCTTCCATATGGAATGTCTTTGCTGAGCAATGCGAGTAGTTTCACCTACATATATTAATCTACAAGGACATATGAAAGCATATACTGTACTCTAAATGAGCTAAAATTAAAAAAAAAAAATGATTGTTGAAAAAGAAAAAAAAAGAAAACAGTATGCATTGAGGATGTTTGTTGTATTTCAGCTGCAATGTGCAGTTTTTACTCTGTAATAAGCTTAGAAGAATACCCCCCTCTGTTGGAATTTAATGCTCCTAACCTGTATGATTCTTGTATTTTTGTTACTGATAATTCTTATTTTGCAATAGCTTATTACAAACCACAAACCTAAAAATGTGAGGTGATGGGAACTATCAGAATGTAATCATTTATTCCTGTAATTTGGTTTTGAGTTAATGTCTTTTTACAATGTCCCTCTTCAATGTATACCGGGGAATCTGAAAATGGAGGTTTATAGTAATTAATGTTCAATTGGCTTGAAGAGTTTCTAGAATGAATCATCTCATGTAACTGCTGTAATGATCCAATGTTACTTCTCCACAGTGCAGAAATGTCATCAATATAGTGCCACCATGTGGTGCAGAGTTGCACAAACAGATCATCTGAATTTATTCATGAATGCACCAGCAAAAGAAGGAGTGATAGTCAATCCTTTTTGAATATATACCTGTGTTTGTCCAAGACATGATTACATTCACTTACTGTTGACAGACTCACTACCTCTTCTGGAAGTCTGTTCCAAGAATCAATTACTCTTTGGGTAAAACATCACTATTTAAGTTTAGTTTTGAACTCTCCTCTTTGTTCGTTTGAGGTCATGTCACCTTGTTTCTGATTTTAGCTTCATATTGCAAATACTTACCCTTTTTAACACTATGTATGTGTTTAAAGGTTTCAGTCATGCCCTCACCATTTTGTTTATTTCCTCAAGACTGTACATATTACATTCTTGCAGTCTTTACTAATATGTTTTATCCCTCGGACCTTTTACTATTTGTGTTGCCTGTCTCAGGACTCTTTATATCTTATTTAAATCTTTTGGAAGTGAGGTCTCCAGAACTGGACATAGTATTCTGAATGAGGCTTAACTATATAGGGGTGATGCACCCCAGAATTCTATTTGCTTTGGCAGGCCACACAGTTTGCTAATCTAAATGAGGACCCTAAAATATTTTCCTTTCTAGTTTTGGCCAACACAGTGCTCACAATATTGTACTCTATGAGAAGATTATTTTTAGTGCATTATTTTGCATTTAGAAATATTGAACTTCAGTTTTTACTGCTTTGACCAATCTTCCAGAAATGCCAAATCATGCTCCATGTTGCAAAAACATCCAGGAATAGCAACCCTATTGCACACCATTGTGCCATCAGCAGAATGGCATACCTTGTTCACAAAACCATCAGTTATATCATTTACAAACAGATTAAATAGAACAAGTGCAGGACCCTGTGATATACAAAGACATGCTGGTAGGTTAATTGGCTCCTCTCTAAGTTGGCCCTATATGTATGCATGTGAGATAGTGACCTTAGATTGTAAGCTTCTTGAGGGTAGGGACTGATGTGAATGTGCAACTCTGTAAAGTGCTGCGTAAATTGTCGGCGCTATATAAATATCTATAATAATAATAATAATATACCACTAGTGATTGGTCTCAGGTCAGAATGAACCCTATTTACATCCACACTTATATTCCTATCCTTTAGCCAACTGCATATCCATTAAAACACCCAGGGGTTAAGTCTTAGCTTGTACAACAGTTTTAGGATATAATTATGTAAGCACTGTATCAAATGCTTTGCTGAAATCAAGATGGGTCATGTCCAGAGCACTAGCCTGGTCTAAAACATTTGTGGCAGTCAACAAATTCCCATTAGTCTTACATTTTCAGCCCTTGCCTGCCAGGTTGCATGTGGTGTGTTTCAAATGGTCATTGATCTTTCTTTTTAGGAGTTATTCCATTAATTTTACTACTACAGATGTAAAACTCACTGTTCTGTAGTTGCCACATTCTTCCTTACTACCCTCCTTGTGGATAGCTATACACTATTAGCTGTCCACAAATCATGGGGGACTTCTGTTAACCAGTTGACATCCGCGGTGTTAAACCCCCTTCCCATCCAGGCCATTTTTCAGTATTCAGCGCTGCGGTACTTTGACTGACATTTATTCCGTCATGCAGCGCTGTACTGAAATGAATTTTATACCCTTTTTTGGGGACAGATAGAGCTTTCTTTTGGTGGTATTTATTCACCACTGGGGGTTTTATTTTTTTACTATATTAAGGAAAAATTACCGAAATTTAAAAAAAAAAACAGTTTCCCCTATATTAAATGATAAAACATTTATTATTACCCAATTTTTTGGTAAAATATAAAAGATGGGGTCACGTCGGGTAAAAAGACACTAAACATGTCAAGCCTTAAAATTGCGTGCGCGCGCGAAACCTCAAAAAACGATAATACCCAAAATTGGCCCTAGGCGACGCTTTAAAAGCTGTTACCGCTCATCAGTTTAGTGTTATCAGTGATTGATGGCCCTAAAATGATTGCTCTCACTGCGACGTTCGCGGCGATATGTAACATGTGTAGCGCAATTGTAATTTTTGCGCGCTGGGGCACCGGACGCGTATTTACGTTTATAGGCGCGTAAACGTGGGGGTGGGGGAGTTAAACATTTTGGGGGGGGTTTTTCCCCTTTTTTTATATGTGACTTTTATTTTATTTTACTTTTTTATGTGTTACTTTTATTTTTTTTTATTTATATTTATTTTTTTTGCACTTATTGGTATTGCTATTATATAGGGGGATAACAACCCTGGGGGGGGGGGTGCCGCGAACGAGCACATATAGGCGATCGGCGGGCTATGGACCCGCCGATCGCCTATATGTGAAACACCCGGTAACGGGTGTGTGCATTTAGCGGGTCTTTTCTGCCCGTGCGTGCCCGCTAGGGGGCGCGCGCGAGCAGAAAAAAATTGCCGTCTGGAGACGGCAACCCGCAGATGCTGCAGTGCCGTCCGTCCGTTTTTTTACTACGGGCGGACGGCAAGAGGTTAAAAGAGATTGATTAAAAATCGGTCAATGACCCAACCTGGAAGTTCACTTAGAACTCTGGGATGAATATTATGTCTCGTATAATGTTATAGAATTAATCACCTCCTTAAGTTTTCCTGAGGAAGCAGATTAGAAATCTAGGAAATGTGTTGAGAACTAACCTACACATACATTTGTAAGGAAATGGATATAACATACACTAAGTATCCATAATAGCATTGCATGTATGTGCATTGATTCTTTATGCTGAGTGTTAAACAAGATTTGTAACAAATAGCAATAAAAACATTGATTATTTGGGAGACTGACAAGTGTATTTGATGATAATATAGGGTGGTACCTAGGAAGTCCAATATTTGTCTTTTTGATTGTTTGATTCAGCAATGATTTTTAAAGCTTTGCATGACTGTAATGTTAGAAAAAAGTATTTGTGTTTACATTTCCTCATTTAAACATTTCCATTAGATATCACCAGCAAATTGTCAAAGACTCAGCCATGCATTGTTTCCACCAAGCCGAGCCAAAATGGAGTCTGTTTTTCAAGATGGATTTGAAGATGCAGTGAACTTTTTATGTTCAGAGAATTTGTATGAATAAATAACAGCACCTCTTTGATTATTAAGAAATAGTGTGACTTTTTCTTGTTGCTCATGCTTGAAACCTCATTAATTAGTTGCAAATACAATAACTCTAAGTAATGTATCTTGGTATGTCACAGTGATAAAGAATAAGGAGAAAAGTGTGTTGGTGTAGGTGAGAGTTTTAAACTTATACAGTTATAAAGCTCTAATAAAGTGTTATCTTACTGTATGCATATAATATATGTATTGTGAATTAAAATGAAATTGCAGAAATACATTAGGTTCGAATGTGTACAAAAAATTAGTTTTATACGTTTTTTGTTTTGAGAAAGAAAAAATGCTGTAATATTAATGAATAATGGTACATACAACATTTAAGCAGAATCAGTCATGATTGGGCAAGATAGAAATCACCAGCACTCCGTAAATGAAATACAAAAAATGTCCATTTATTTGGACTAAACGTCACACATATCAAATAATCAAACGTTTCGGGACCACGCTGGGTCCCTTCATCAGGGCAGAAATGACATTGAAGGGACTGATGAATGGACCCTGCGTCGTCCCGAAACGTTGGCTTATTTGATATGTGTGACGTTTAGTCCAAATACATGGGCATTTTTTGTATTTCATTTACAGAGTGCTGGTGATTTCTATCATTCATTGACTGCTGTGCACTGCGCCATCCGTGATTGTCACTGCGAGCACCACTGTTTCCGCTTGGACCGGGAGCGCTGTGAGGAGTGCAGGGGGACCTATCATTTTCTATGATTGGTCAAGAGGCTAAAAATTCAATATTAAAGAGACGCAGTAAATATATATATTAAAAAATGCAGTTTTGATGGGGCACGCTACTAATGTAGTGGAGGGAAAGGGGGAAGCCACAGGGAACCGTGGAGAGATGCAGGGTCCAAACACTCATAAATATTGCATGCTGTTTATAGTTTTGCAAGATAGCAAAGAGCGGCTGCAACGAGGCAGTGCAGGTAAGTATTATAACTGTTCTTTCATATGCTCTTAGTGTTTATTTTATATAACGAGAGTGACTCTTTAAGTTGTTGTATTGTTCAAGGTTTTATATGAAACATTTATTTTCTCCCTTTTTAGATGCTCTCAGTCTGCTCGTGCTGGAGTCTGAGGTCACTTGAAGTCTTTCAACTTACTGTTTACTGCCTTCAACTTCAAACATGGTTTGCCAGCTTCTGTGAAGTGATTCTAGCAGTTGACAGAGCAGCAACTGCTAATTTTTAGGTGATCTCTGACTCCCTGACAAAAGGGAAAGTGTCAAACTCAAACAAGAATTTAAAGCTACATGAGGTGACAAACACCATGCATAAGCCTGCACAATTATAATAATTTAAAGGAGAACTATGAGGTGAGTGCTTTTCACTCACCTCATAGTTCTAGCCGACCTGTGACAATGAGACTGTCACAGGTCAGCTCAGTAGATCGGGTAGTGAGCGAACACATACCGGTGTTCGCTCACCTCTCGATTCTGTCACAGCCCTCTGCCGTGCCATGGCAGGGGCTGGATTCCCCCCTCCGATCCGCCAGCGCTGACTGGCAGATCGGACGGGGGAGGGGGCAGGTACAGCTGCTCTGCCTCTAGATAGGCAGAGCCAGCTGTCACTCACACAGCTTGGCGGATCCAGACATAATTGTCAGGATCCGCTTCAGCTGTGGCGTCTCAGTATACCTGTGGGTGGGTACCTGCCCCCTCCCCCGTCCGATACTGTGGCGTCTCAGTATATCGCGAGCTGTAGCTCGCGGTATACTGAGCTTAGGGTGATGGGAGGACGCTAGTTTGTGTCCTCCCGTTACCCTAAGGAGAACTATGGGGAAAAGCCCTAACCCCATAGTTCTCCTTAAAGGCTGAGTATTTAGGTTCCTGCATGAGCTAATAATTACTGGTCCTCTTTAAAATTATACTGGTGGAATATAGTAGTGTTGTGGAATTATTATAATGCTTGTATGCACAAGAGGCATAATACTATCATACCCGGCACTTGACCACCATGGTACAAAGCCACAATTCACCTTCCAAGGATGCACATAGGTTTACAGCAGGATGGCAGCACACAACAATCTCCTCCAAATGTATCTTTATTTCGTACTGTAAAGCCCATAAAAGCAACACCTGCTTACATGTCCACTCACCCCCCATCCTGCATTTTAGTGCAGATATCTAGAAGTTTGATGTAGGAAGGCAGTGTAGATGTATGTGTGGTATGTGGTGGGTGAGCTTCTTTTATGAGGATGGAGAAAATTTGTGCTGTTGTGTTTAATACCTGTTTTGTACTACTATGATTTACTTGTAATGCTCAGCACATTCATTGTTGGTAGGCTTTAGCCTAGTCCTCTTGGACAAAGCTATAGAAAGGACGTTGGCATTCGTGTTTCTGTTTGAACAAGTACTTAATCTTTCGCTGGGAACCTAATATATTTGGTCCCCACACATAGTATACTACACAGGTAAACCCTTTGTGCATGATATAAAATATAGAAAGTATCATAGACAACAAATATGCAGTTTAGGAACATGAATGCATTTATTTGGCTGAAAAAAAGCAAGGTGTAAAGCCGTGGTTCTCAACTGGTGGGTCGTGACCCAAAAGTGGGTCGCGACCACATGTTCAGTAGGTTGCTGCATGCCTTCCACTGTTCTAGGCGAGAGACTCCTCAGCCTCCGCCCATAGCGCAGCACTATCAGTTCTCATGCTGTGCAGCCATTCAAAATATGCAGCCATTCAATATGGCTGTGAGGGAGCTCCATCCACACATGCATTGCTTATAGCTCGGGTGACCGGAGTGATGTCACATTCTGGCTCCCGACACCTCTAATGGGATTGCAGGGAGCTGTACAAGCAATGCACGTATGGAGGGAGCTAGCACAGCAGCCAACACTGAACCCCTAAACAAAATTTCAGAATGTGTATGTGTGTGTGAGAATTTCTGCAAGTGTGTGAGATTGTGTATATGCTTTGTGTGTGTGCCTGTCAGTGTTTTAAATGCAAAATACGCAATCACACCTACTGTTTGTTCTGGTGCAGGAGGTGTGTTGCCATTCATTTGAATAGCACCCCAAACACACCTCCCACTCAACTTAATGACCAAGGACAAATGTGGGTCCTGAGGTTACACAGGTTGAGAACCACTGGTGTGAAGCACCGATCATGAAATGGTGGACCGGACATGGACCAAGTGACAGTTCTGTCTGCTGTCCTCATCTGCAGCCTGCTCTGCCTCCTTATCCCTACTGTAAAAGTATAGGGCAACAATAATGTAATGTGTCTCTCTAAAGGGGACAACCAATTTAATGTGGTACTCTGATGGGAACAACTAATCATTATGCAGCCTCTCGCTTTGTCTCACCCACTTTTATTGGCTTAAACATCATAAACCTGTGAGGCATAGCTGATGAGCAGGAGAGGAAAATGAGGTAGGAGGAGAATGTCTTTATTCTTTAAAAAAAAATACAAGATCTTTTGTGAATAGAGGATAGTGAAGAGGATGGATTATGTGACCAGACCGCTGCACAGTTTGGGTCACCTCTCTCCTTCTTTTCAGTGCATGGAAGCTTGGCATTGTGTACAGGAGACAACGTGCTGCAAGGTAAGATGTCTATACTTTACAGCCCTTTGCACATAAAACCCAGCTTTTTAATGACAATTTAAAGACAATTGTTTGCTTTCCATGCAAAAACAATTGCAAGGATATCCAAGTTCAAATTGTCCACATATTTAACGTAGTTACTGAAGATTGACAATAAATGTTATTGAAATGCTATGAAAATTGTACATTGCACTTTTGTTTGGTAGGCATACAATGACTACATACAGTATATGCTAGAATCAGAGTCACAAACATGAGATTTGAACCTCTGCTGTAAGAAAATTTGACTGATTGGACCACATTGAATTTTAAATCACTACCCCTGGTGTAAAGTGTTAAGTATAAATAGCAATGTGAAAAGCAACCAATGAGAATACATCTTTCTCTGGTCTGACTTCAGCAAAGTATGAATTCTTATTAAGTGCTATGGATCACTAACATTTGCTCCTTAAAGTTTGTTTTCTACTACTATTCAGATCAGAGGTAATCTATTTGCAGCTGTACAGTCTGTCCCTATTTGCTTATTGATGTATTCTCACTAAAAGTGAATCAAAATGACCAACACATAGTGATGTGCATAGTGATACAGTGCATGCGCATACAGTTTATAATATATAT